TCCCCCCCCCCCAGTCCCCGTGGGAAGCCAGCCTTGTTTACCCAGCCCAAGCGCACACCGTGAAGCCCCGGCCGGATGCTGCCCTTTCCCGGCCTCGCAGTCCCCCATCCCCTCCCATCCCCAACTTGGAAACTACCGCTGGGGCAAAGTACACAGCGGTGCAAGGTGACAAGCCGCCACCCCAAATTCCTCACCTTCCATAGTGCACTGGCCCAGGGATCTCGGGCCAACCTCCTAACTTGGGTTTCTTTCCCGGGAAAAAGGAGTTAAGACTAATCCCCCCTCCCCCACTATGTGGTTCAGGGGAGATAGTGATATAAACTGTAAAATGGTGCACACAAGTAGGTCATTTCCAGGAGTGAGTGATGGAGTGAGATTAAGGCAACCTGAGTCAGGAGCAAAGGCGAGAGAGAGAGGGAAAGAAGAGAGCGGGAGACTTAGGATCAGATCCAAGGGCCCCAGGCCAAAGTTTCCGCCGTCGCATCTGCGGCTTCCTGCCGAGTCAGTGCGGAGTTCGTGCGGCCTCTCGGACCCCTCCAGAAGACCCGCTCACTCCCTCCTCCCTCTGCCTGACCCTGCGAGGCTGGTTGCGCCCCAGGCCAGAAACCCTGCGCTGTTAACCTCCTAGAGTCCGCTCCTCCGCAAGCGCCTCTTTTCACGGCCTCACCGCGCTTTTCTGGGGGTGTCGGGCTGCACGGGAGCGGGCTGGGCGAGGAGGGGAGCCGCCAGGGGCTGTCGCCACTCTCGCATCTACAGCAGCTGAAGGTGCCGGGCCGGCTCGGGTCCTTGGGCCACGCGAGCCGCTCGGGAACGTTAGGAAGCAAGGCGATCTGGGGCTGGGAACCACGGAGCTCACGGGAGGAAAGAGGATGCAGGAGAGGGCGCCATCAATCCCCCCAACCTGCAGGGCGTCTGGGGAGGGCTAGCAGAACCCGCTCCGTCCCCAGTTCCCCAGCGGGGTCCCGCCTCTCGGGACCCTCAAGGCGCTTCTCTGGAGGAAAGCTCGTACGGTGAAAGCCGCTGCCTGGCCCCTGGGACCTTTTCCAAGAGAGCCTGGGGATGCGGTGGAAAGAATTCCGCGGCCACTGAGCGAAGACTTGGCGGCGAAATTGACCCTCACAGCACCGCGCCTAGAGCTTCCGCGCCCTGGGGGCGGTGTGCGTGGTTGTGGGTCTGCGCTACTTGGAGGTCCTTGCGTAGGGAAGCGCTGTGTACTTCAGGCCGCTGGCAGTAAATGTGGCGGTGAGGGTAAGAAGGGAAGGTTGGTGCTCTTCGCCGAGCAGCCATTGGTTTAAATGCAGAGCTGGGCTGAGAGGCTTCAGAGGCGGCTAATTTGGAAAGCTGGGTCAGTTTTCTCTCCATGACTGTGCGACCAAATATATTTTAAAATAAAAGCTCAATGGAAACGAAAAAAAAAAAAAAAAAAACCACATTAATATGGTGTGCTGTCCCCGTGGAGGCGTTCAGTCTGGACTTTAAACCTAGAATCAGGAGCTAAGAGGCGCGCCTAGAGCTGCGCTCCGGGACTCCCTGGTAGACGCTGGGGGTTGGTTCCCGAAGACCTATTTACTGAACCATCTGGACACAGGGACAAGCAGAGCCTGATGCCCCAGAGCCCCCGGCCCGTTCTCGTCCTCAACTCCCCTATCCCGTTGGTCCGCCCGCAGGGAGGGGCCCTCTTTTCCCCGCGTCGAGGTCCCAAGATCACAGCACCCCCAAACGGGTGGAGCAGCCCCCTCCTCTCCACCCGAAAGAAGACAGGGGGCCTTGGGTTCAGGAAGGGCCGGCAGCCGGGTCCAGCTGTCGCCCCGTAGGTCTCCGCCGACTGCCCTCCACCCCCGCGGCCCCTCTGCTTTGCATGAGAAGGAGCCCAGCTGGGACAGGGGCGGGGGTTGAGCCCCTGGGACTCTGACGGCTTTAGATTCCAGAAAGGGGCGGTTGGGTCGAGGGCGCTAGCGGCGAGAACCAGGACAGCTGGGGGAGGGGGGGAGCGTGGGGGACCGCTCGACTGGACCAGCCCCTCCCCGCGGGTCTCACCCAATGCAGAGGGCTGGGGAGGCACCTCGGGGCTCCGGGTGGAGGAGATGGGGTCCCCTGAGCCAAGCAGCTCCTAGCGCCTCCGCGGGAGCTGGAGTACTGGCTACGGATCCGCTCGTTCCTGAGAGCGTCGGGTCGGCAGGAGGAACACAAAAACCTAGTCGGATCTCACGAAGCCCGCCTGCTGGGTTGGAGAACCGCCCTCCCCATCTTACTCCTGACCTGAGCGGGGCCCTGAGAGAGGCCCACGGAGGGGGCTGATGCAAGAGAGATAACTAGCCCCAACACTCCGCCCTCCCCGCAGCGGGGAACCCCAGCCCAGGTGTTTTTGGAGAGGGTGCGGAGAAGATGTTAGAGGCCCCGCATTTAGAGGTCAGGATGGGCGGAGCGCCAAAGGGGCGCACGCCGGACCTCGGCTTTGGCTTCCAATGAAAAGGTGACGCGGGAGGCAAGGTGGAGGCTGCCGGCGGCCTCGGGGTTGCAGGGTGGTACGGACGGAAGCTTGAAGGAAGGAAAGGGGCGTTGGCAGAGCCCTAAAACTCCACTCCCACAGGGCGCAAACCAAATTTTCTGTAGCGGCTTCCCGGTTCGTGCGAAGAGGGTATTCCATTTGCAGAGACCTGGATCCCGGGCCGGCTCAGGTTCATTGCAATTGCGTTTCAGCACGCATTTCCCCCAACTTAGTCCCGGGCCCTTGTGTGGGATGTCTGAGTCCCGCACCATGAGTGGGATCGAAAGGCCAATTCCAAAATACCAGCTAGACCCGGCTAGCTGCCCATCCTTATTTTCTTCCACACTAGGGTTGAATGCGCCTTCTTAGCATCCCCCCCCAAAAAAAAAACACAAAAAACGAGGAGCAAAAACAGGACTGGCCAGCCCTGCCACCTTCAGACCTCACGAGAAATCCCAGTTTGACATAGAAATGGTGCTATCAAAACGGAATTTGGTATTTGACTGGCGTAAGCCAGGAAACCAGAGTGACTCTTCGAGGCTAGGGTTCTCAGGACCCGGACCTGAACCCCACGTTTGGAATAATCTGCCTCCAGGCAGCGGTCCCGAGGTTTTATTCGGAATTAGGAAGGTAAGGGCTCCCTGAGGGGTGAACTACAGGGGGTGTGGTCTGAGGTTGTCTCGGGAAGCTGTTGCTAGCCCGGAGCCTGGAACAGGGGAGGAGGAGAAGCCGGGCCCACTCAGCCCGTGCGCTGCACACCCGAATCCATTGCAGCCTCTCTGTGGAGCCCCAGACGTCCCTGCTCCCCACTGCCACCACCCGCCAGCCGCCACTGAAGCCCCGTCGTTTCCCGCCTAGTCGTTTGTTTTTCTATGTAAAAGGTGTCTCCGGATCACAGTTTTCTCACAACTTCTCGCCTGGGTTGCAACTCCTCACCCGAGGCGCTTCCCCACCCACTCCTTTCCCCCTCCCCGGCGCCGCGCCTCCGGTCTCCCCCGCCCCCACCAGGAAACCGCCGGAATCAACTTTCCAAGACCGCGCTCCGGGGAACAGACACCCAGATCTCCCGGAGACCGAGACCCTGTGGACTTTGGATGGACTGGGGGAGGAGGCAGGGAGGGACCGGAGGAGGAAGATTCTGTGGCCCTCCCTCCTCCACTCCCGCTAAAACGCGCGCTGTGCTCGGGACCAACTTCTAGGCCAAGAAAGCACGAGGAAGGGAAAAAGGAAAAAAAAAAAGAAAAAGAAAAAGCCCAACACCCGCTGAATTGCAAAGTCAAACAGTTCACCAGGGCCGCCGGGGTTCCCGGACCCTTCTGCACCCCAACCTTCAACAAGGCTCCACCTTGGATTAATCCCACCTTCCAACAGTACTCTGCCCTCCGCCTGCGCCTACTCCCATGCTCTCTCAGTCCTTCCCATCGAAACCGAGGCCTTACCGGAGCAGGAGGGGCTCGGGCACCTTGCTGCCCGCCGCCCGCACCGCGCGGGGCCGCGGATGCGGCCGCCACTGATCCTCTAAACGCGGTCTCCCGGCACTCTCCCCGGCCGGAGGATGCAGAATGGTTTACAGAGGGACCGCGAGCCGCTGATTGGTCGCAGGCCGCGGTGACGTCGGCGGGCGCTGCATTAAGGCGAGGGGGCTTCCAGAGCTCAGCCAACAGCCAGGAGCAGTGACCGAGCCGCCGGAGCTGGGGAGAGACGCGCCAGGGCGGCGGACCGGGCCAGGAGACCAGGGACAGAGGGACGCTTGTCCGGGGACAGCCAGCAACGAACTGCGGCCTGGGCGGCGACAGCAGCGGCCCTTGCTGAGCTGTTCCAGCCGCGCAGAACTGTAGCTGCTGCACCAGGACGTTTTTTCAAAGCTCTCCAAGCTACTCCCCCTCCCCCCGACTCCTCCCGCTGCAAAAGAAAAAAAAAAAAGGAAGGAAGGAAGGAAAGAGGCTAGAAAGGAAACCCAGATTTGCCACCACAACGAAAAAAGGGGGAAAAGGAAAAGAAAGTCAAGCGACTGTGGGGTTGGACGCAGGCAGCCGGAGCGCGGGCCGAGCGATGCGGGGCTGCGCGCCCGGGCGGCCGCGAGTTGTGACTGGAGCCACGATGCACGGCCAGGCGCGGTGAGGAGCCAGACCGTATCACCTCCCCGAAGGAGTCCGGGAGCAGGGAGGGCCGTCCCGAAAACACGGAGGCCGCCAGGCAGGCCACGGGCCGAGGTGACGGGTCTGGGGCAGTGGGGAGCGAGCAAGCGCACCTGGCTGCGTCCGCCTGGAGTTGTCCCTCTGCGTTCACGATTGACACAAACACTTCTCCAAACGGGGGGAATCTAAGCAGCAACAACAATCAACAACGAGATCTTCCTCCTGCCTTCCCCTCCCTCCCTCCCTCTTCCCTTGGCCTGCCCCCGCCCCCTCCCCCCAGGCCCACCGCTGGCGCCCCGCGCGTCCGGACCCGCTGCGCGATGCCGGCAGTTTAGGATCCAAAGCTTCTCCACTCGTTTTGTTCTTTTCTTAAAAAAAAAAAAAAGAGGAGGGGAAATCCCGGTCGGTGGCAGGCAGCCCGGCACACACACACCCGCCCTCATACCCCGACAAAAGCAGATGCACTTTGACTTCTGACAGCTCTACCTCAAGCCCAAGAGAACTCCAAGGCGCTTTCCCTGCAACCTGAGCTCGAGGCGTCCTCCTCTTCCTTCTCCGACTCCGTTTTATTTATTTCTGTTCCCGTCGCCGTTCTCGGTGACCTTCACTCCTCCGCGTGCTCTGGGCAGAAGAGCCGCTTTCTCGCCCGCCTGAGACTCTTCCTCGCCCCAGGAGCTGCAGCAGTGCTGCTGTGCCCCAAGGCCCTGGGACTTCCAGGCTGCACACTCCATCGAGGTGCCCTCCGCTCCCCATCAGCCTCATTTTCACCCCCTTTTGATTTCCTGGTGTGGGTTTTGGCTTGCACCCCCTGTGTGTCTCCTCTTTTTGGAGGGGCTGGGGAGCTCTTGCTGACGTCTTCGGGAGTCATTCCCTAGGCTCTACCTGCTCTTCTCTCTCCCGGCCTCACCCGACCAAACCAAAGACCATGGTGCACTGTGCCGGCTGCAAAAGGCCCATCCTGGACCGCTTCCTCTTGAACGTGCTGGACAGGGCCTGGCATGTCAAGTGCGTCCAGTGCTGTGAATGTAAATGCAACCTGACCGAGAAGTGCTTCTCCCGGGAAGGCAAGCTCTACTGCAAGAACGACTTTTTCCGGTGAGTACTTCCCTGGCGCGCCTCTGCTGCTTCCTCCCCGCGGGCTTTTCCCCGCCAGCTTCGGATCAGAGGTCAGCGTGGCCGAAGCAACCGCGGTAGGAGCAGCCTTGGAGAGGGCAGCCAAGTCCCACGGGCACCCGCCTCTTCGCCAGCTGGCGCGCTGGGCGCCCCTGACGCAGCCCTGCTTGCGCCCTGGAAATTGTGGGTCCCGGCTTAGCTGCACGTGCCTGGGAAGAAAGGGTGTGAGTCCGCTTGAGCCCAGAAGCCCCTCCAAGCTTAGAAGGAGGCAGCACAGCCCGGGGCGTTGTAATCCTAGCTCCTGTCTTTCCCTCCCTGCACAGAGCTCTCCAGCAACGGCATTCTCCGAGCCTCTTAGGTTGCTCGCTCTCCAGGCTGAGCTTGGAAGCCCGGGCTAGATCCCTGCCACTGCCTTTTCGTCTCCAAAAGGTCTTGGCGGGAACCGCCGAGGCTTTTGCGTGGAGTGTTTGAGTCCCTTGCCTTGGCGGCGAAAGGGAAACACTCTGGCCTAATGCCTATGGTGCACATTCCAGGGTGTTCTTGAAACCCCGACCGGCCTGCCTCCAAGCGCCGGCCTGGGCAAACCGCGCCTGCCTGTGAAATGCCCCAAGGCTCCAGCCTCCGGGACGACCTTTCCCCTTCGCTTCCCGGCTGCCTGGGCTGGCGGGAGGATCGGCCTCCGCCCAACACAAACCTCGGCTTTGTGGCGCAGGCTCCGCTCGGAGCTCTTCCCGGCACTGCCCGCCATCCCCTTGTCCCACCTCCTTGCCGAAACCGCGAAAAACCAGGCCCGGCTCTTCTGAGCCGGGAGACTTCTCCAGACGCCCCCTCCTTCGTTTAGCATTTTAATTTATTCTCTTAAACACACTATCTTGCCATGAAATCCACACAAACACAAAAGTCAACCGAGAACAGGAGCAAATGCGAATTTTAATTCCTCTGTACTGGTTTGAAATCTCCCAGTTTACTCGGCTGACTTGGTCTCTGCTCTCCTCTGAGTTTTTGGTGACAGATCAAACTGGGAGCCGGGGGTGGGGGTGCGAAGCCATCCGGGTCGCTTTGCTTGGAGGCCCAGAACGCGCTGTCCCCAACGCTGCCCCAGGAAGCGTGTCTCTGATTGCCGGGAACCATGGAGAAAAGTGCTGTGCAGGCTGGTATCGCTGGGAGCAAACGCAGGCTGAGCCTCTGAAACCCGGCCGGCCGCGCCTGGTGTCCCCAATACCGGCTGGAGCCGAACTGGAGAACGGCGAACGGTGCCTAGCTGCCAGTGGGCCCCAGTGGCCTGGCTCCCGCAAAGCGCATCCCGGCACCTAGAGCCCCGCGGTGGCTCTAGCTTGCACCAACCTGCGGGGCTTTGGGCTTGAACGTGGCGGCGGCCCAGCTGCAGCCGTCTGCGCGCTCCAGGGCTGTTTCTTTACCCGCGGCAGGACTGGACCTTGCCAACCCTCGGCTTAAGCGCCCCTTTCTGCAGTGAAAGGCGACACTAGGAGAGAAAAGCGGTGCTCGGGACGCATTTACATGGAGCTCTAATTAGAATTCGACTGTTCTCTGAATCTAATAGGAAAATAGTTGCCTCCCTCCCCCTTCCAATCGCCGCCTTGCCGCCTTCTTCCTCAGGCGCTCTTTTCCTCTGGGACAACACTGGGCATGAGGCTGGGGGGGGGGGCCGCAGCTCGGACCCCTCGCTCTCTCATTCTAACAGTGTGTATCTCCTCACTGACTTTTCACTGGTGCCCCACGTCCTCTCCTGCCTTCTTGACTGCTCGGTCGGCATTCTGCCTCTTTTTGGCTGTCTCTCTTCTTTTCTCTCTTCCTCCTCTTCTTCCTCCACTTTCTATTTCTCTCTTTCTCTATCGTCTTTTCCTGGCCTCCGTTCTCCCCTTGCCCCTCACCAACCCGTCCTCTCCCATCCCGCAGATGTTTCGGTACCAAATGCGCAGGCTGCGCGCAGGGCATCTCCCCTAGCGACCTGGTGCGGAGAGCGCGGAGCAAAGTGTTTCATCTAAACTGCTTCACCTGCATGATGTGTAACAAGCAGCTCTCCACTGGCGAGGAGCTCTATATCATCGATGAGAACAAATTTGTCTGCAAAGAGGATTACCTAAGCAACAGCAGTGTCGCCAAAGAGAACAGCCTCCACTCGGGTGAGGCCCCAATTCCCAGCTCGCTAGGGGCGGGCGGGTCCTGGGGGAAGAAGGCCCACTGAGGCCACTGCTCACCTGTCCCTTCCCTCTCCCCAGCCACCACGGGCAGTGACCCCAGTTTGTCTCCAGACTCCCAAGACCCGTCACAGGATGATGCCAAGGACTCAGAGAGTGCCAACGTATCGGACAAGGAAGGGGGCAGCAACGAGAATGACGACCAGAACCTAGGCGCCAAGCGGCGGGGCCCACGTACCACCATCAAGGCGAAGCAACTGGAAACTCTGAAGGCGGCCTTCGCTGCTACTCCCAAGCCCACGCGCCATATCCGCGAGCAGCTGGCTCAGGAGACTGGCCTCAACATGCGTGTCATCCAGGTCAGGGCCTGGGCATGCCACTCATCCCCCCGACCCCATCCAGACCGACATGGCTCCTTTAAGCAGGCACCCAGGCCAAGCTGGGGAAACCCAGCCTCAAGGAGGGGACTGAGTCCTGGGAGGGTGACCTGTGCTATATTGCCCCATTTTATAGGGCATCTGGAAATCCCTAGGCTCCCTCCATTTCCCAATTGGAAGCTGGTGACGGTAGTGGCAGAAGGGGAGGGATGGGGAGTTCAGCATGAGGCTGGAGGAGGGGACATTGTTGGACACCGCTAGGGAGTCGGGACCCTTTCTTCTGCACCACGCACCTTGTTTGGAAGGAGCCCAGAGGTCTCTGAGCATGCCAGAATTAATCAATTTCACCGGCTTCTCCACAACATAGATCTCCCTCTGTGTCCCCCACCTACTTTGTGGATCTCTTGCCTCAGTTAGACAAGCCCCAGAGCAGAGACGTCTTCTCCAAAGAGAGATAGGGCATCCTGGTTTGAGGGGGAAAAGGTGTGGGCTGGAGTCAGCTCAGCCTCTGGCGGTCTAGAGTGGGATAGGGAGGGGAGGTGGACATCTGGGCATCTGTGCCAGTGTGTTGTGAGGACTTGGGGCTGCGTGTGATTTGGGCCTGAGTCTCCCGCCCAAGGTTAGGTTCACCTGCGGGGGCTCTTCGAGGATGTGGTGGCTGTGCCTGGGAGGCTGAGTGTGCATGGGCACACATATGCAGCCTGACCTCCATGGGAGGCCTTGCAGCACCCGGGGGGCCCTGCTGACGTGTGCTTTGTGAATGGAAGCTTGCATGTCTGTGTCCTTGTCAGCGAGAGGCTGTGGATAAGTATATTTGGCACTGGGAGATTTGCGTGGATGTGAAAAGGAGATTGTGGGTTTTGGTGTCACTATCCTTGGTAGACTGAGTGTCAACAGGAGGCTGTTTCGTTCTCTGTCACAATCATGCCGGGAGGGGGCTGCCAGGGACGGTGAATTGGAATCTGCGTGTGTCGAACACTATTGGGGGAGGTTGAGCGTCTGTGTGTGGAGAGGCCCCAGGAGCTGTAATTGTGATAGTGTGACTGTTGGAAACAACTCCAACTGCCTCACGTCGGGCAGGGAGGCTTGCCCAGGTCCCCAGTCGAGAATCCCGTAGATCATTGGCTCCAAGGGCCGCCCTGCACGGCCCTACTCAGAGACACACCCCCACAACACAGCAGAGCAGAACACAACACAACACAACACACACACACTCGGAGCCCTGAGCCGAGCTAGCGGTTGGAGGGGTTAGGGGCCGATCAGCCGCGCACCCGAAGTGGGGGATGGGGGAGTGGGGAGGATCGTCCGGGCCTCACCTCGCCGCGTGTGTGCTTCAGGTCTGGTTCCAGAACAGACGCTCCAAGGAACGGAGGATGAAGCAGCTGAGCGCGCTGGGCGCCCGGCGCCACGCTTTCTTCCGCAGTCCGCGCCGGATGCGGCCGCTCGTGGACCGCCTGGAGCCGGGCGAGCTCATCCCCAACGGGCCCTTCTCCTTCTACGGAGGTGAGTGTGCTGCCGAGTGGCAGGGCGCGGCCAGCCGGGGTTGGCTTCGTTGGAAGCGGGTGGCAGTGCAGGAGGCGCTCCTGGTTTTCTTTAGAGAAGTGGCGAGTGGGGGAGAGATGGAAAAGGCTGGGGAGTCAATCAAGGGTCGGTAGTCGAGACCGAGGGCCGAATTCCCGACGGTGAACGAGGCGGGTGGGCTGGTAGGGAGCGGCTCCAGTGTTTGCACCAGGCTTCCCTCCGCTGCCAGCCCCGCGGGGGAGCCCCCCAACAGCGAGTTCCCCGAGTTGCCTTTCTCGTCCTTCCTCCTCCGCCCTGACCTCCTCCTCCCCGCTGCTCCGCAGATTACCAGAGCGAGTACTATGGGCCCGGGGGCAACTACGACTTCTTCCCGCAAGGCCCCCCGTCCTCGCAGGCTCAGACGCCAGTGGACCTGCCCTTCGTGCCGTCGTCCGGGCCCTCCGGGACGCCTCTGGGCGGCCTGGAGCACCCGCTGCCCGGCCACCACCCGTCGAGCGAGGCGCAGCGGTTCACTGACATCCTGGCGCATCCCCCCGGGGACTCGCCCAGCCCTGAGCCCAGCCTGCCCGGGCCTCTACACTCAATGTCGGCTGAGGTCTTCGGGCCCAGCCCACCCTTCTCATCGCTGTCGGTCAACGGCGGGGCGAGCTATGGGAACCACCTGTCTCACCCCCCCGAAATGAACGAGGCGGCCGTGTGGTAGCGGGATCTCGCACGGTCCGCGGAATGCGTGGTTGTACAGAAATGAACCTTTATTTAAGAAAAATAGAAAAAAGAAGAAAAAAAAAACATAAGAAGCAAGTCACCCCCCCCCCAACACACACACACACTTCCTTCAGCCTCGGGGACCATTTTCCGTCTGGGGAGTCCGGATGGGAAAGGGGGACAAGAAACAGGATCCAAATCCGCCTGGAGGTAGAACTGGGATCCGTGCGCTGGCTGTCGAGGTGCAGAACTGGGGCTCCCGAAGGGAAATGCAGACTTCTCCCCATCTTCCACCTGGACCCGGATGCGGGGACAGACTCCACGAGCGTGCGCGCCCGGCCAGAGGGCGGCACAGGAACACCCACGGCGGCCGCGGGGGCGCACAGCCGGTGGTGACGCCAGGAGCCGCAGGGAGGGAGGCCGAGAGGCACAGCCGGGCGAGGGAGGAGAAGTAGCCCGGGGCGCTCCCGGGCCAGCCAGGAGGGTTCTGGCTCTGGGAAATCTCTCCCTAGTGTTGTCTCAGTGTTCAGGAACAGCGACAACAAACTCTTATAGCTTCAGAAACGCCGACCTGCTGTGCATCAGGTGGGACTATATATATATATATTTTTTGTCTATCTGGGTTTTTGGTTTTTGTTTTTGCCAAAATTGCAAAATTCTAAATGTAAAGCCCTCAGTATCAACTCTTCTACCTTCACAAAGCTCTACACACACACACACACACACACACGCACACACATACATATACACACATACACACAAACACAGATACACGCAGACACCCTGGATAGGATGGTCTCCAGCCAGACCTCTCAGTAAAATGACTTGAACATCAACTGTACAAGAAAGTATTCTACCTTCACACATACAAAAAAAAAAGTTTTAAAAAAAGACTATTGAACTAAAAACAGTCAACTGTTTACGTATAATGTTAAATTCAGGAGTTCAGTGTTTTATTAATATATACTGTTTTGAAACCTCTTGTTCAAAAACAAAATGTTTTGAGCAATCAACCAAAATTGTTCATTTTCTTTTCCTGTAGATGTTCTGACAGATTTGCAGGGCTCGCAGCTCACTGTGCTAGTATGTAAAAAGGTGTTGTTTACACAAGGCAAAGAGAAAACATGATATTCAGACACTTGCCAAATAGAATAATTATAGCACAAATACTGTAAAGGTGCCTAGCACCACAACCTGAGAAAGTGTTAAAAAAAAAAAAAAAGTGTTACAAGGTTTAAAAAAAAAACATCTTTGCTAATTTTTAGTCCTGTTGAACATTCATGGAATTGTTAATATGACTTATATAGACCCACACAGGTTTTATTTTTGTGTCTTTAAAATAAAAGTCCAAAATATTTAAATTTTATGGTCAAATATGCAGTCAACAGCTGCTACTTTTTTCTTTATATATTAAATTTCTCATATGTCTTTTATTGTTCTGATAAACCTAAGCTTGTGTGACCTCCAGTGCATATTAGACCATTCACTGTATGAAAGAAAACATGTTGAATAAATTTGTGAGTTTTTAATAAAAATAGAAAATCTGATGTTTAGATAATCGGTGTGTTATTTGATGTTTTAACAAGTAGAGGGGAGACCTGATGGGGAGCTGAATGGTCCCTCAGAAGCCAGGAGGAAGAGAGGCAGGACTGGGGTATCTTTTTACCTTGACTGTGGCTGAATCCCCTTGCTAATGCCAGACTAGCTTTTCTCCGTGGCTTCCTGCCGTTATTAACCACAGATTTGCATTCTGTGGGTTTAAGTGATATAGGTGAAGAGATATTTGCTGACAAGTTAATATAGAATTTGAAATAGAAATCAAATCCAGGGCTAAAAATGAGTGCTCCCAGTATGATTAGGCATGAGATCCCATGCACTTTCTCTATCCCCCATTCCGCACACATGAAACTGCACTTGTGAAAGTCAGTTACCTGTAAATATATAGTTAGAGGCGGTCCTTTTCAGTTTCAATTCACTTCCCATAGATAATCCTGCTCTCTAATTTGGCGGTTTAAAAGATAATGTAAAATGAATGTACAGTACAGCTAGAAATTAAATACTTTAATCCCTTTCAGAGAACCGACGTGAAGTAGTTGTTTTATAGTGTTTGTTACATTTGAAGTTTCCTAGAGGGAAAACTATTTTGCCTTGCACAAGATACATACTACCTTTTTCTGAAAGATGAGCAAAAAATAACCGATATAGAAATCAAATTTCACCTGGGGATTGCCAATATGTTCTGAAAAGTACTTCAGTCCCTTCCAAGCCTTCATTAAACATGGAAGGAATTTAAATATTTATCTACTATGGAATAGTGTGTGTTTTTAATATTAGATGCCATTAGAATTCCAGAATTTCTTTTCTATATCACCTAGATTCCAGTCTGGATTATTTATTTCGTTTTAAAAATCAAAAGTTTTACATTAAATGGTATGTAATTTCCATTGTCGTTTTCATATTTTGTTAAGACACAACCAAGTGTATTTTTCCTGCAGGGAAGGCTTTAAAATAAGCAATATTTCACTGCATCCATATGACGGTTTGTCTAATGGGGAGGACTATCAGGGAGGAACCTGACAGTGTTCTTTCAGAAATCCAAATTTATGAAATACGGAGACTTTTGAAACTCCTAGCCTCTGCATGCAGCACAATTCTTTATCTGCTTTGTATGCAATCCCTGGATCGGCTGTTTTTGCCCTTTCAGTGTTTATATACATTAAATCACAGCCAACTTATTCATTATAGCCACCCCCCCTTTAAAGACATTCATTTAACTGAACGTATGCTCATGGGAAGCTGCATTTTCCTATCAGGGCTGCTGAATTATTTAGCAGCTTTATTGTGGAATTGGGTACTTGTTAAGAAGGGGTTTGAGTTGGGCGCTCAGTGTGGACTTATTTCCTCTCTCTGACTCCGTGGCAGCAGGGCAGTCTTTCCCTCCTGGCTCTGTATACTGAACCCTAAAAATACCTGAACAGGTGGCAAAGCTTAGCAGTCAAATTGGGAGGCGCCTGAGAGGAGGAGGTCTAGAAATATCAGGGACTATTCTCCTTCCCATCAGAGCAGCACTGTCCACCTCTGGCCCTAAGGTGCAGAGAAGTGCTGCACCATCCGCAGGTGGCCGCCTGGGAGCTCCCAGGAGAGGCTCAAGGGCCATGGGGAGCACCACGGGGTTCCCCTCCCTCCTAGGAGGGCAGTCTCCTCTCCAGTTAGGCTTGGCAGTTAGCTTTCTCCCTGCGGCCATCTTAAAGCTGCCACCTCTGTGCCTCTGGCCATCTGCCTTCAGGGTTCCAGCCTGCCCTGGGCTAGGGAGCCAAAGCTCACCCACCCAACTTCCCCAGGCTGGGGGAGACTGGGGGCTGCTTTAGTGCTAGACAAGGTCGGGGAGAACTAGGCATGGAGAGCCAGGACAGGCATTGGCAGGGACCTGGGACCTAGGGATTGATGGCATCTGAGAAGAGAGGCAGGATTCCTGGTCATAGGAATAGTTGATTGGGACAATGGGGGGGATGGTGATCTAATGTCACCCCTGCCCATCTTCTGCTATTCCTACATCTGTCTGTCACTTTGCAGCCCTTGGGCAGCAGCAGAGAACTGTGAACGAGGAGACCCTCTGACCTCCTCTGGAGATGACTGTTCTTTTTGGAGAGTGCTCCCATTTATTCCCATCCCTTTGGTCATCAAATCTGCTCACATCTCCTAGAGCAGTCAGAGGCTTAAGTTTCTTCTAGGAGGTATAGTCTTTGAAATATCCTCTCTTGTAGTCCACCCTCCATCTCCAGACCCGTTCCCAACAGGAAACCCCTCCTCCCTTCTCAAGACACTAGAATGCAAGCAGGAAGGGCCCCCTAGAGAGAGCATTTAGGAGGGTGCTCCCCTGCCCCGTGCTGTGCCTCAACTTCTCTCAGCTGCATGTTAAGTCTTAGAATTCTTTCCTCTTGCCTCCCCTCCCTACCTTCAGTATGGGGTAAGAAAGCAGGAGGAGCATTTTGGGGGCCCTGGGATGTATGTGACTGGAGTAGAGTAGTCTTAATTCCTTCCTCCAAAGGCTCCCCGAGTCAGTGGGGACCAGGACGGAGAAGGGATAGTAGGTAAGCAGAACTCGGGCATTTTCTGCCCAGAATCATCCACCAGTGTCCTGTTTGTATGACAGTTTAGAGGTGGTCTCTGAACCTATCTTGCCTCCCTCCCCCTTTTGTCCTTTTTCTTTACCCTGAAGGCAAGGATTCTAAGCACTATTGTTCAAATAGGAAGGGAAGAGGATTGGGGGAGGTAGTTTCCTAAATGTGGAAACATTTTTGTCCTTTTGAAGCCCAAGGTGATGGCTCCCCGTTGCAGCCTGAGGGGCAGGCTTTTGTCCTGGAGGCCCAAGACACCCACACCAGACTGCAGTTGCAGGGGATATGTTAACAAAAACAAACAACGCTGTTTTCTAGCCTGAATTCTCTTGCTGCTGGTAAAAAAGCAGTTTTCTTTTGCCTTAGTCCCCTGCCTAGGGTGCTCCTGTCCTAGCCTGGCACTCTTTCCCTTTCATGTTTGAGGGGGTCTACCCTACGATAGGTTCCCCTTCCCCTCTGCAGTCACCTAGGAAGGGGACATGAAACAAGCCTCACTAAAGGGATGGCCTCTCATTGCTCTTGACCCTGAGGGCGTATTAAGACTGTGAAAGTCAGGGACCCTCACTTCTCTTAAGTTCCACAGGAAACACTGGTGAGCTGAGGGTTCCTAGGCTGTTCAGCTGTGGGATCCAACTGGCCTGGAGCCCTTAACACTCTTTTCTGGACTCTTTTGATGCAGTTTCTGTTTACAGGGTTCTAGGTTTCTACGGGTAATCTCAAACAGATACTGGAAGGATAGACCATTTTGAACTCACCCTTATCATCCCTTATTGCCATTTCTGTTTACAAGTTTGTCTGCGCACCGCCCCCCCCCCCCCCGGGGCTGATCACCTTCAGGAGAGAATTTATTTATTTATTTTTTTAAAGATTTTATTTATTTATTTGAGACAGAGAGAATGAGATACAGAGAGCATGAGAGGGAAGAGGGTCAGAGGGAGAAGCAGGCTTCCCGCGGAGCAGGGAGCC